AACAAATCACATCAGCACCTTGGAAGCTCAAATTTATATATAGGGAAATTGACATATTTGCAAGGAGGTTCAACTCTCTATTTGGTTGGGTAAAAAGGATTGCAAATGGTTTGGTGGATACCCTAGCAAAACAGGGGGCAAATAGATCTATCTTGTTCTGGGCAGAACTGTAACTGCTTGTATGTGTTTGTAGCTTGGGTCATTGCAATGCTGAAACCAAACTCATGTAATTCAATATATTTCTGATCTTAATAAAAGTCTTATTTTCTGATAAAAAAAAAAGTTTTCAGTTACCAACCAAAAAAATGTTGTTTTTGAATAATCATTAATGTATATATCAAAAAGCAATTATCATTACTGCACATGGTTATCCCCAATGATGATTGAAGGTTTCAAATTAAAGGGGAATACAATTTACCAAATCATTGCCACACCATGACAAAGGCTCTACTGCTTCAAAGAAATGCTTAAAATCAAGGGAGGGGAAAATGCATTAAGTGAGTACTAAAAGCCAGTGCACTTTCTGGAATATTCTGGTCATCTTGTGAAGGAATCTTCTTGATGGTTCAATTGGTAGTTGACATTCAAAGTTGCAACATAAAAAGTGAGGGTTTGGGAGCCAGTACATAGCTCACATAATATTGATATAGATGATCCTCAAAACCTCTACTGTTCAACACGGGCTCCTCTTTATCTTAGTGTGAGGACATCGCTATCTTCTTATAGGATGTTTATTATATTTCTTCTTTTTTATAGTAAATATAAAATTTATTAAAAGAAAAGGTAAAGTAAAAGAGATAAGGAATCGCCCTAAGGGGAAAAAACAAAACACCCAACAAACCCCAACTCCATTACAACAAACAACAACACCTGCCCCAAAAGACAAAACAACACCTTTTTCCAATTGGTTTGCAATACTCATTGGATTTGGAAATAGCAAGTGTAAAACATTAGCCAGATGGTAGTGTTGAAGGGGTATAAGCATGATTGATTGCAAAGAGGTACACACAGACATATGGCATTAACTACACTGACGCTTTCTCTCTGGTTGCCAAGATGGGTTTTGTACAGGTAATTATTTAGTTTATTCCCTTGGCAACCCACTTTGATTGGCCTTTGTTTCAGCTTGATGTTAAAACTTGAACTATGCAAACCCAGATACAACCTATTGCTTCCTTGGAGGCAAGGAACTGTGACCACAGGTGTGGTTGGATTCAAGAGCATGAAATTTTTTATCCACCACCCTCTTCTAATCAAATGAGTTCATGGACAAAATGAGGTACAAAGTAGAGACACAAATTTTTGATAGAAAGGAGACAAATGAGTGAAAGAGACATAACGAGAAGGAACTAGTACAAGCACATTTAACTTTCTAAACGCAATAGGAAGATCATGGTCAGGTGCACCCATCAACAATAAGAGTGATGATGATGTAATAGAAGCTAGGGTTGGATCAACTAGTTCTCGTGGTCACTTGGAGTACACTCTAGAAAAGATGGTCATACAATCTCCTCAACAGTGGGAAGCTACAAGGACTCCTTTGCAGTAGAAAGAGGAAAAGGAAAGGAAGAAGAATCTACTAAAAGAAAAAAGGGTACATTTTCAAAGAAGGAAACACAAGAAGAACAAAGGACTTACAAAGTGTAGGACTATGACATTTGTAACCCTTTTGAGTTCGAAAGTAATTCAAAAATACACACTTGAGGACCTAATGATCAAGTTTATCCAACACAGGACCAAGTCTAGGGATAAAACATACACAACCAAAAAAGATGAGGGAGAAAAAACAAAGGCGTGGGAAGAAAAAGCAAAAAGTGAGGCTTGCTTCTAAGGGTAGATTGTTATGGACGCATTCCTCGGGAAGACATACCATCGCCGCCGGCAGCAGCAGGAACCTGACCCACCGCCGGCAGCAATAATGATTCAGTGATTCTCAGTCTACCCAGTACAGCAGCAGCAGTCTCATCCAGATTAGATTAGCTTATCTTGCTTGTTCTTATCTTATTCTATTGCTCTTATCTTATCTTGTTAGTAAGTTATCAGATTAGGATTAGCTTATCTTATCCTTAGCAAGATAGAACTGGAAGTCTCCCTATTCAACAAGGAGACTCCCTCARATTAGGACTCTTGTAATCTCCTATTTAAGGAGACACCCTTATTGAATGAAATGATCAAATTATTCAGTCAACGAGTGAGTTAGGAGAGTTGGTGATCTCTTGGACAAATCACCAAAGGCGTCAAGATAGGTTCATCACGAACAGGAAGGAACAAGGGAAAACAGGAGGTTTTCCCCGTGGACCGACCCGTGACGAGATCCTATTCTCGGGCCCTCAACATAGATGAAGGCATATGATATATAAGAAAACAAGAGGTAAGAACAGCATCACTCCAATAAACTTTGGAAACTAACATCTAGATTAATAGAGTTCGAGTTGTATCAAGTAAATGTCAATTCTTCTATTCAACCACACTGTTTTGTTGTGGTATGTATAAAGAAGAAGACTGATGAACAATCCCACGAGAATCAGAATATGATTGAAAATGGCCTTGGAAGTATTCCTTTACATTATTAGAGCAAAACACTTTAATAGAAACATGAAATTGATTTTGAATTTCAGCATAGAATGAAAGACAAAAGTAAACAACTTTGAAAACTCTTTCATTAAATAATTTAAAATCATAAGATTTTAACAACATCTTGACATCCTGAAAAATTCAAAAGGAAAAAATGAGACAAACAATTGAAGGTCTTTGTTAATTTACTTACAGAAATAAGACCAAAGAGAAACTTAGGAACATAGAAAACAAAGGGAAAATTAAGACATGGGTGAAGGTCACATTACTAATACGATTGAGGGTGTAGTACCATCAACTAGGGTAATAGACAATGGAGAAGATAGAGGGGTAAACAAATCTGAAGACCTAATCATATGGCTTGAGGCTCCAAAAATCTTAATCTAAGGTGGAAGGCTTAGAGTGAGAAGTGAGGCAAGCTACACCTATCTTAGCAAGTGTATGTTACTAGAAGAAGAAGAAGACAATGAAGTTTTTCGTACTTTTTTTTTTGATAAATGAGTAAGTATTTTATTAATCAGAAAATAAGAGTTACAGGCAACCCAAGTAGAGGCATGAAATGCAACCTTTCCTTTAAGATTGATCACAGCATTACAAAATCAGATGAACATAATTACAAGGTAGCCCCAAAATAAAAAATCCCGAGAGACACCCTGTTTAGCAAGTGAGTCAAGGTAGACTTCTCAAACATGGAAGTATTCTCATTCTATGGATTTGAAACTCTCTTAACCCTTGAGAATACTTTAGATAAAGTAGGAACATCACTACTACCCAGAATTTGTGCACAGGTTGGTAATCTCAAACCTGAAAGAAAACATGTTACACCTAAGTGCTCAGTCTGTTGTTGCTACACCTTCAGATCAGTTGACAAAGGCTGATAAACATTCAATCCGTTTTTATCACAGGTTCTTAAGAACTGAATAGTATTCTTCAACACCCTTGCCTCCTTGTTGAATAAGGAAGCAATCCTGATATAACTGATAAATCTTTGTCATGTTATCTTGGCCTGAACACAACTGTTTCGCATTTTCCCAAATTGCCTTAGCAGTGTCCAGGAACATGAGATTAACACCATTATGAGCCTCCATACTATTCCAAAGCCACGTCATTGTCGTGCATTCTCTTGCACCCAATCATTATAGCCATCAATCCCAATCCCTGGTTCTGCACCCTTAATGTCCTTCAGTTTTCCTTTTTTTTATTAGAAATACCTCAACAAACTTCACCCATCCGGTAGATAATTGGTGCCATTGAGTTTCATTGAAGTCATCTGTATGGCCATGAAATGTGGCTGTAACACCAACTTGCCGCAGTAATTTCAACACAAAAACAGTCCTGAATCTTCTTGTGATAATAGCTAATCTTAGGAACACCAAAAACTCTTTCAGCCACACCACATACTATCACCCAAACACAACAATTGCTACATTCTTCAAAGGCTGAAACAACTAACCTAAACATTCTCCAACTTCTCTTCGAACTGCTGAATAGAGAGAACTTAACACACCACTAAACTAACACAATCCAACAAAACTGAGGCATGAAAGCCTCCTTTCTAGATGTGATCAGTCCTCTTTGATCCCTTTTTAATTCTCCCAGATGTAGGAAAAGAAATCTCCTATGTATGGTTGTAACAATCCAAACCTGTCCAGGCAATGACAGGTGCTCTCATACCATGTGAACAGCCTTGAACAGATCAGAAAATAATTAAAAAAAAAAAAAAAGAGATAGAAACAAGTCCAAAATTATACTGGACAGAAAGAAGATAAGATAGAAGAAAAAGATAAGAGAGGGAATGAGAAATTAGGGCTGAAAGCAGAGGAGATCAAACAGAACTACATCTCCAACTGTTGCCCATCTTTATTAATAATATAGTGTGAAATAAAATTATAAAACTACCCCTGTTTACATGATGTAAAGGACAAAAAAAATTACCCTGCCACCAATACATATAACCAAATGTATAGCCTCAAACACATGTTACATTCTCTTATCTTGGAGCCAATCCCCCAATACAATTGATTTTTTATTCACTCCTTATGGGGATTTCTTTTAGATTACATTGTCTAAACTATTTGAGTTTTTTCATGGATAAGATGTTTATGATCCCATGATCTTGAAGTTGAAATCCCTACTTTGTTCCAATCTCATTCCTTATGACTATTTATCCAATTTGGTTTTTATAAACCACACAAAAAGCCTACTATAGATTATTGCTCTAACGATCCTCAATCAACTAGGGCGAGTATCAAATTATTAGTCAATTGCATGACAATTCGCATTACCAATGGATCTCTTCTAAATTTAGAACATGCAAAAGAGATTAGGAGTAGTATACAGCAAGGAACAAATTTCATGTTCAGAAATTGTTTTGGTGTAAAAGGAAGGAATGAACACAATGTAATGATAAGGGGTCCTTCAATTACATCTCTGAAGTGCCATCTTGATTATCATGCACTAGTAAATAATACTTCAAAATCTTTGGATCCATTGCACCATCATTAAGGAGAGACGGGAGCTGATTGGTATTAAAAAGGTCAACGAATTTGTTGATAGGTTGTTCATCTTTTGAGGAAACAACTAAAAGACCTGCATGTCAATTTGCAAAGAGAAAACTAATAAGATTCTCCTCAATGATATCTTGAGAAATTTCATAGCTAGGGCTCTTAAAAATTAATCACAAGTGAAAATGGATTACAACGTCTAAATTTAATTCAAATCTTACATGCTACAGGATGGTCAAAGGCCTCATGTTCCGAGAAGGCCAATGTGCGTATGAGTTCTTTATTGAAGATTTTAAACCATGACGGCAAAGCTTCTGGCTTAGTTTCTGCATAGAAAAAACATCATTTAGCAAACCAAAGCAACTCCAGCACCAGCATCTCAACAAACAGATCAAATTACAAAAGACCTGTATCAAAATAGTTATTTATAGAGACAAGAATGCAAAAGATGAAAAATCATAGCCAGGTCAACCAAGCAGTTTTACCATTAAATGCTTAAGAATGCAATAGATGAAGTTAAAGAAGATGAATTTCCACACTGATCACATTTTGTAAAAGTAGTGTTAGGTAAACAAATATTGTGTACCCAATTTAAAGTTTTCCACTGTATTGGGCTCAGGCCCTTTCAAAATTTAATAAATGTTCAGCCCAGGCCTGCCCAAGTTGAACCCCCATAAACCAAATAGAGTATGGCATAAAAGGAATTTCAAAGCAAACACAAATGGTTGGAATAAGGCTTTCTTAAGTTTGAAATCAGTAAATGGTCCACAAATGAAGAGATTTTTCCTATTTTTTAAGGAACTGAAATACAACTATTATTGGAATTCATTCAGGTAAAGGGTTATAACTTACGGTTAAGTACACTTTCAAGTTCAGGTGGATCTGAGTGTAAATCAGATACATCTCTCTCAGCAGCATGGACAACAACCTGTTTCAACTGTTCTTCCGCAGCCTAGTAAAAAACGGATAAAAATAAACAAATTGGGAAAAAAAAACATAAGCATAACACTATGAAAAGAATTCTCGTGTGGATAAACATTGTTGATTACAACGAAGCTAATTCTTTAAATTTTCCATGTGCACCCAATAGATTCTTCAACTCTTTTGATTTGGAGATTGAAAAAACAGCCTCTCTGTGTATCTGCGGTGGTAAGGTTGGGTATGTCTGTCCCTCCCCAGACCCTGCATTGGTAGGAGCCTCGTGCACAGGGCTGCCCTGCCCTTTTGATTTGGAGATTAAATGAAAACAGTATCTGCACAGTCTTTCTGGTGTTCAAAGATTGTCCAGTTGAACAGGTTTTCAGTTCTCAATGGCTTGGAATCTAGGAAACTAAGAGTTCTGGTTAATAAGAGAGAAGGAGCTTAAAATCTGTCTTCCTTTAGTTCTCCAGTAAATATAGTTTTTATTCTTTCTCTTTTCTTCCGCATTGCCCTTGCCGCTCTTCCATTTACCCAAAGCCAACATGTTGCAATCAAACAATGGACTAATTCGGAAAAAATTAAAACACCAAACAGAAAGAAAAATGTGTGTCGAGTGTGGACTAAAAGCACAAAACAAGTGATTTAGGATTTGATAATTATGAACAGCATCACATATATATTAGTTTCTTCTTCCTTTCTCTCTTATTTTTTCATTGAAATTGTCCGGTACCTCCACGTTTGGTTGTCGAACGTCAGAAGCATAAAATAAGCGCAATTTGAACTTGTGCAGCCTGTAGGGTTGGTCGCTCGCAGTACGTACAGGTACTGAAACAAACCAGATCAGATTATCAAAGCTTAATTTTCCACCAAATCAAAAAAGATAAAGAAAAAAAAGAGAGAGTTTGATTGATTCTAACCGTCGATGTTCTTGAAGAGACAAAAGGGGTGAAGCATCTCAACGAAGTTGAAGCCATTCTTAAGACAAGCTTCTTCGACTAGGGGAGTTCGAAGCACCATCACCACGGGAGTTATCTCCTCCAATAACATTTTCCCCAGAAAAGTCTTCGCCGGATCCACCATCCTGGTCTCAGATGGTGCCAGCATCATTCTCAGGTCTGCAACGACGATTACCTTCGTTACTTGCTCTAATGGCGATGTTTCTTAATTATATTATATTTTACTCGGATCTAGCTCGCTCGCTCGCTCGCTCGCCCGAACCTAAAAGAATTATATATTTTGTGGACTGAGACTGAGTTTGTACACAGTATCAAACGTGGAGGACAACAGGACTTTGGCAGCTTCAGGGCTTTGCCAGATTCACGGCCTGGCTATCCTTTTTTCTTCAGGGCTTTGCCAGCTTCACCGCCTTCTCTACTCTTTCATTTTACCCCCAATGGTCGTACAGCATGTAGGACGGACAGGAAAAACTTTGGCAGCCTGCGCTGTTTCCGAAGTTGCTGTAAATGATATGTCATAATGAGTGTAGACAAATTAATATTATCATACAAAACAGCCTGAGCTGTTTTCTAAACAGCCAAAGTTGGATCCATTTTATTATCAATTTATAAATATGATATAATATGAACAAAAAATGGATCTACCCCCATCCGATCCAATATAGTTTAATTCCATTCGATTTACATCTATCTATCTCCACATAGTCAAGACCCGGGCCTCATGCCCTATATATTTCTTGGACTCAGTTTGGGAGGAGTATAAATGTAAATATGTAGAGTGTAAAACCTTTATTGTTTACATCTATTTTTTAGCATTTGCTAAAGGTTCAGGAGACATGTCCAAGAAGTTTATGGAAATTAAGACCACATTTTCATAATAATTTATTTTTAATAAAAGAAAATTACACTTCAATCTAATAACTGCAATAGAGAGAGATCAATGAACCCTAAAACAAATAAAAAATAATATATAGATAGCTATGTCTAAAAATGATAACTTGAACTTACTTGGAAAGCTAAACCAATAGCACCAATACCTATCATATAAAAGTTTGAAATCATACATAAAGTTTAGGTTTTTACTACCTTGTCTGTAAGCTTTGTGCAACAAGGATTGATGTAATGAAAGCCTATTGCCAAGTTCCACCATTCCAGCATATATTCACTTCAAACAACCAAAACCCATATAAAATGGCACAAATTATATAAGACCTATAATAATCCTTTAGTAGATGGAAACCCCATTTAATGTCCAAAATTCTAAAACACTAAATAGTCATATTTCCAATTTCTAAGAAAATTGTGATTAGCAATTATGATCTAACATCGATAGAGATAAATCTTGATGAAGGAGATTTTGGCCCGACCTCGTGACAGGGGGACACGTGGACGTAACTTAGCGTAAGTGACAATTCGACGTAATTAGATCGACACATGGACGTGACTCAACACAAGTGACAGCTCAGCATAAATCAGCTTGCTACAAAGCAAGCCCGGGTAAGCTGGTACTCTGAACTAAGGTCACCTCGAGCTAAGATAGTCTTGGTAACAGATCGCGACAAACGAAACCAATTTTGTTACAGATCGTGCCCGGATAGACGGATCACCTTGGTCCAAGGGCACTTTGGCATTCGTGTCGGGGCGGACCTAAGGAGCACGAGCTCGAGGAGCTCGCTACCGGTCAGCTCGCCATCGAACAACTCAATGTCCTACAGGCAACTCGCCTACCGTTCAGACCTCCGAGTGGCAACCTCAAGGAGCACACCACAATACTCTGTATCCTATAGGGTCATACCTCGTAACGGTCACATTAGTTCACCAACTCCCCAGTTCTGACATAAAGGGACAATATTACCGTTTGACAACGTTTCGCCCACCTAACACGCAAGCAAGTCCCGTCACAGCTAGGATCCAGTGACTATTCCACCAACCCACATGGACCCCAGTATATAAAGACTCCGCCCCCCAGGGGCGAGGTATGTTCTATTATTATTGTTGTGTTGTAATCTTCACTCTCAAACTCTTTCACTGTTATCGTCTTCAAGCTCTCTATCATCACTGTGCTCTAACTTAGTCATCAAAGTATCCTCGCCGGGTGAGCCACCCCGGGATTTCTGACTCATTTCTTTCAAGAACCCAGTTATCATCGTTGCTGGCAACCAGATCATATCCAGCAGGGACCAGCCGGATTATGCCACATCAAATCTGGTATAAAAGTAAATTGACTCACAGGGACCATCTTCTTCAATACACCTAGAGAGTATTTTTTTTAATATATTATTTTTATTCTAGAGATCTTGCCTCAACTTAAACCTAGATATAAAAAAAATGAAGAAGAACCAAAAGAGCAAAAGAACTGCACTTGATGAAGCTACTTCTTAAAATAAATTAGTAATCTTAAATAGATAAAACAATGCAAATGTAGATAGATAAAATGAAATATCAACCAAAGCTGAAAACCCAAAAAAAAAAATAGAAAGTATGGTGTTGGAGATGCAATCCCTGCCCCAAAGAGAAAGAGAAGGGAAACCTTCACCGGTGGAGCATCTACAGAAGTAGGGAAATAAAATTGTTAGACCTGAATCACAAAATATAAATTAAAAATTTTGTTAAACTTGGACAAAAGAAACACCCCTCTCCTACAATCAGTGAACTTTAACTCCAACAAAATAGTGAAATCAATAAATCCTTACAAAGATAGAAAAAAAATAAATGATTACAAGAGTATGGAAATTAGGAAAACCAAAAGCAAAAGCAATAACACTTGAAAGTAGGGGTGAGCAAAAAAATAAAAAAACGAACCAAAAAATCGGTTAACCGGACCAGTCGGTCCGGTTTCGGTTTGGTATTTTTAAAAAGCCGAAGGTACCGATTCAGTTTCGATTAACCAATATAGAAAACCGACGGTTAACCAAACCGACCGGTATACGTATATTTCTATATTTTTTTATATACATTTATGTATATTATATTATATATATTTTATTTTTTATATATTATAAATTAATAAATATGCATTATATATAAATATATGTTTATAATATATTATATATTATTTAAAATATAATATTTTATATATTTATAATTTTTTATTATATATTTATATTTTTTATAATATATATTGTAAAAATTAAAAAAGCAAACAGACGGTTAACCAAATTGGTCAACTGATTAACCGACTGGTTTTGGTTTGGTTCTGATTACCGGTTTTCCAAAAATCGGTAGATTGATTCGGTTCCGAAAAATGCCCCACAGTTCAGTTCGGTTAACCGAAAGGAAGCAAGTGCATCAGCACACTCTAACAAAGCTAGCAAGAGGGTTTAGAAAGAGGAGAGGCAAACTGACGTGAAGAGAGAGAGAGAGAGGACATGCCAAAAAAATGAAAACCAAACAATTGGGTTTAATCCAAACCTGCAAAGCCAAAGATATAGAGAAATGAAACATCTCTCCCATAAGACAATATTTTTCAACTAAAAAACAATAAATACATAGAAAATTTTGAAAAAAAATGAGAAGAGAGAGGTGGGTTATGAAAGGAAGTGTTGTATTTTGAGTGAATCTACCTGAGTTGAGCAAACGAAAATCAGTAAATCGACCTCTTAGGGATTTTTAAAACCTACCAAAACGACCTCTTAAGAGATTATTAAAAGCTACCATGCAACCGTTACTAATATTAAGCAGAGCCTAATTAAGCAAAGTGTACCAAATGGGAAAAGAGGGGTAAAAAGGAGATACAATGAGGCCTACATGTGAGAGTTGTGGTGAGAGGCCTTGGCCCTCCAACATTCCTCTTTATATTATAGAAGATATTTGTTCCACACGTACAAGTATAAATGAGGCTGTCCTGAAGTGAATCCTCACCAAAAATCCGTGGATTTGGTAAGAGCCTTCATACCTATATGTGATAAGCAATGAGCTTTCCAACTATTGAGTTTGTTTTTGCATTTATCAAAAATGAATTGCCAGTTTTTTGTCTTTCCCATGACGAGAAGAGGGGATCCCAAATAGAATTCTGTGCCGTTCATGAGCCGCACATCGAATAGATTTGCTAATTCCTTTCTATTCCTTCATTAGACATTATTGCTAAAGTTAATAGAGGACTTGGAGAGATTCATTTCCTGCCTCAAATACTTGTTGAAAGCCACTATTAGGTCCTTAATATGTGAAAGTTCAGTTTCCGAGCTCATGCCAAAAATGAGAATGTCATCAATAAATATAAGGTGATTAATTTTAGGGCAGTTCTTAGCCAATGTGAACCCCACAAGAGAGTCACTCTCCGAATGGCTCTTGATGTAATCATTTTCGGTCACATATCATTTTTTCGTGATGTGTCAATTTTTTGGCTAAGTACATCGTCATCTCGTTTGCTTCCAAGTGGCCTGTGACTCGGAGGCTGAAGCGGAGCTCCCTGGTGGCGAACTACCTGGTGGTGAACTACCCTGATGAGCTGCTAGGAGATGAGCTACTTTGATGAGCTACTTGGAGGTGAGCTACCTTGATGAGCTGCCTGGAGGTGAGCTACCTTGATGACGAGCTCCCTAGTGTAGTGCAACCCGATTGCTACCGGCAAGAGGTGATCTGGCTACTAGTAACAACGGGAACTGAACTGGCTACTCCCTGCTGGCGATGATCTGCTCATCTTTGTAAGCGGCGGGAGCTGAGGGACCTGCGAGAACTAAATCAGAGAACCCGGGGGTGTTTACCCGATGAGGTCACTCTGATGGCTAAGTTAGCGTAGTATAGTAGTAGAGAGCTTGAAGATGATAAGAGAATGAGAAAGCTAGAGAGCAGAGGTTACCCGTCCCTTTTCGCATCCTACCTTCGCCCCTAGGGGTGAGGTCTTTATATACTGGAGTCCTCATGGGTTAGGTGAAGCAGTTCTTGGATCCCAGCTGTGATGGGACTGGCTTGCGTGTTAGGTGGGTGAAATGCCATCAAACGGTAAAACTGTCCCTTCTCATCAAAACCAGGAAGTGGGTGAGCTAATATAGCCGTTATAAGTCACAATCCCGTAAAATGTGGGGTATGGTGGTGAGCTCCTTGAGGTTGTCAGGTTGGCGCCTGTGTTAGGCCGCCAGGTCGGTGCCTGGGCTAGGCCGCCAGGTCGTGCCAGGGCCGTGCCTGTGGGACACCATCATCTTAGCAAAGGCAAGTTGTTGCCAAAGTGATCACGGTGTCACCTAGTTGTTCTGAGGTGCCAAGCTACATGAGCGTGAGCTACCTGTGGCGAGCTGCCTAGCTATCAAGAGGCTGCACTTAATTGTCAAGAAGCTGCCCTTAATTGTCAAGAGACTGCC